TCGAAGTTGCCTGACGAAATGGTTTCGTCATTCGTCAGTGACGTAAGGTTACGTCATTCGTCAGGCATCATTAATTGAAACTACGTATGTTATATGATATTACAGTCAGATTAAGTAGTAATTATGAGACTGCAAATTTTGTGCAGACTGTCACCTGACGCTTTAAATATAAGTAATCTTGCCTCCAATAATACCTTCGATCTTCGTAATTCATCATTTGAGTTTCCTCATTTACTTATAGCTCAATGATTTTATGCTCTGTTGCATTTCCCTGGTTTAGATTTAGTTAAGACTTTATAGGAGATTAATATTCGAGAATCAGTTATTGAATATTTAAAATCACTATAATTGACGTTTCCGTCAAAGTTAAACTTAAGCACGCTTGTCCGAATTTTGCCAATTCATGAGAATACTTTGGATAAAATTCGCGTCATACACTAAATGATTTTATTATTAATAATATGAAACAACACGGCGAATTAACGAAATTAAGCTAAAATTTGGTTATCAAATCTGGATGCTTTATCCCCAATTTTAAATTTTAGTTACTAAAAATTACATATTAATAAATTAATGTTAAACCCTGAAAAAGTTTTTTTGGACCTCTGATCTCTTGATCTCTTTATTGATAATGTGTGTAACCCATCTTCCCACTTTTGAAACATCTTATTAGACATATAGATTAGTTATCTCGGTCAAAAATCATTATCATTTAATTAGCGATCAAATGTTTCAAATTTTGGGATATTTCATAAATTCGCCTCAAGGATATGTAAAAGATGATCGAATATGTAGGAAAAAATGTCAAGGTGAATAAACGGGGTCAAGAAGGTGGGTTTAATTCAAGGATCAAAGTAATCCGAACATAAATGAAAGAATGAAAGGCAAAGTTATACCTGAGGCCCCGATGAAAAGAAACGTCAAAATCTCTGATATGGGTAATACTGGAAGAACGGACGACGTTGACGTTGTTATCAACATATGATCGAATGTGAAAGGGATGGATATAAGTCTTCGAATACCGATGGATCTGGGGATTAGTTGCCCGAACGTATGGCGCCGTTGTGAAACCACCTGTAACCGTCATCGAAATGGATGTGTTTAGGCTCCGTGGCTGCAATAGCAGTGCAAGGGCCTCATGTTGTGATTAGGCTCCGTAGTGCAAGTACCTCATATTGTGATTAGGCTACATGGCTACAGTATAGTATAAGGACCTCATATTTGATGATTAGGCTCCGTGGCTGCGATAGCAGTGCAAGGACCTCATAATATGTTTAAGCTCCTCGACTGCGATAGCAGTACAAGGACCTCTTTCTGTGGTTAGGCTCCGTAGCTGCGATAGCAGTGCAAGGACCTCATATTGTGATTAGGTTCCATGGTTACAGTAGTAGTGCAAGGACCTTATTTGATGCTCCGCTGCTACGATAGCAGTGCAAAGACCTCATATTGTGATTAGGATCCACGGCTACAGTAGTAGGGCAAGGACCTCATCTTTGATGATTAGGCTCCGCGGTTGCGACAGCAGTGCAAGGACCTCATGTTGTAGTTAGACTCCGCGGCTGCGATTGCAGAGTAAGGATCTATGGGTAGCGACAACAATCACATTACTACATAAAGCTAATTAACCGATTCTCGTTGCAGCTATGTGCTTCTGCTTGGCTACATTCTTCTATGTGAAAATGAAGTAGATCGTAAGGAATATGTCTTTGGAACCCAGGTATTCTAATATGAATGATATATTGCTTGTAATTGATAGGGAAGGGAATATCCATATGCTTTTCCTCGTATCTGATTGAGCAATAATTAAGTTAGGCACTGCAAATTGGTATAATATTTACTAATATGAAAGCTGTTCATTCAGCTCTAGAGAGCTATTCTGTTTAAACT